CTTGTGCTTGCCAGGGAAGCACTTATTCTACTGAGCCATCTCCCCCGGCCCCCTAAACTTTTTCTCTGTTACATAGTATTAAGTGTTGGACGCAGAGATCAGTGAGGTGTTTTTTTGTTTGTTTGTGTGTGTGTGTGTGTGTGTGTGTGTGTGTGTGTGTTTAATTATTTGATACAGGGTGTCACTACACAGCTCCAACTCATAGTGATTCTCCTGTTTTCAGACACCCCAGCTCTGGGATTACAGGCATGCACCACCATGCCTACACTCGGGTAGCTGACTCAGAGCATCCAAAGATGGGGCCAGTGCATGATGCAGCATGTGGTGCCAGGGATTGAACCCTGGTCCCTGTGCTTGCCTAAGCAGGCACTTAGTCTGCCGAGCTATTTCACCGGCCCACGATTGGGATAATTATTAAGGTAAAGAGAAATCCTGTCCCCTCCAGCTGTTACTTCTTCCCATTGTCCTCATGTCCCACTGTGCAACTGCCTGCTGCAAACAGGTGTTTTCAGTTGGTTTAGTTTGGTTGGGGTGGTATTGAGGATTATATACAAGGCTTTTCCCCCAAAACCAAATCTCTAGCTTTTCTTTCTTTCTTTCTCTTGTATTTAGTACAGTGTCTACAGGGTCTCACTAACACAGATCGGACTCATAGTGATCCTATTTTCAGCCTCTGAAGTGCTGGGATTACAGGCTTGCGCCACCATGCCCAGTCTCAATCACTGTCTTGGCACCTGGGGGGGAGGGGAGCGTGGCCACCACTGCACAATAGGAATGGAACCCTGGTCCCTGCTCTGCCTAAGCAAGACTTTTAAGACCACTGAGCCATCTGGCCGGCCCTCCCTAGCCTTTATTTTTTCTGTTTTGAGACAGGGTCTTGCTAAATTGGCTAGAATAACAAGACTTTTTTGAGACAGGGTCACTATGCAGTTCAGGCTGGCCTGGTGCTCACTTTTGTAGCCCCCAGGCTCATCTCAAACTCTCAGTGATCATCCTCAGGTTCAACCTCCCAGGTGCTAGGATTACAGGCTTGTGCCACACACGGTGGGCACCCGCGTTCAGGGCTGAGACTATGTGGCATGTGGGGCCTTGGATCAAACTTGTGCTTGCCAGGTAGAGCAGTGCTGCTCCTTCTGAGCTATCGGGCCCCTAAATTTAGACTTGTGATTCTCCTGTATCAGTCTGCCATA